TTCATTTTCCCTGATTTCATTAGAAGTCAAAGCTTTCTTGGGAAAGAAAAGGAAGCAGAGGAGAAAAGAAAGGTTTGATAAGAACGAATTATAGGAGCAGGTCTATACCTTATTATAGGTGCATAGAAATGAGTAAAATTTTTACCCTAGGTTATAGGGCTGCATCAAAAGAAGCATGGCCAGCAGGTCAAGGGAAGTGATTTTTCCCCTCTACTCCACTCTCATGAGACCCCCACCTGGAGTACTGTGTTCAGCTCTGGGGTCCCCAGCATAAGAAAGACATGGACCTGCTCGAGTGGGTCCAGAGGAAGGCCACGAAGATGATCAGAGGGATGGAACACCTCCCCTGTGAGGACAGGCTGAGTTGAGGTCGTTCAGCCTGGAGAGGAGAAGACTCCAGGGAGACCTTATAGCAGCCTTCCAGTACTTAAAGGGGGCCTACAGGAAAGATGGGGAGGGACTCCTTATCAGGGCGAGGGGTAACGGTTTTAAACTGAAAGAGGGTAGATTTAGGTTAGATACTAGGAAGAAATTCTTTACCGTGAGGGTGGTGAGGCACTGGGACAGGTTGCCCAGAGAAGTTGTGGATGGCCCCTCCCTGGGACTGTAACATCAACAGGTAAGATACATGCAAACATCTGATCATAACACAACTATATCTTGTTATTTCCACATTTAGCCTAGCCTGTACTCTTATAAATAGACAACAAGAAGGGATTAAGGGGAAAAAATAGGTCAAGAGTACCTTAAACCACTTGGTTACATAAAATTCTGTTCTAAAACGAAGGGGCTCCATGTAGTATGACAGTCACTTAATTAAACCTGCTGATTACGTTGCAGAAAAGCTTATCACAACCCTTTCTTCATTTTCCCTGATTTCATTAGAAGTCAAAGCTTTCTTGGGAAAGAAAAGGAAGCAGAGGAGAAAAGAAAGGTTTGATAAGAACGAATTATAGGAGCAGGTCTATACCTTATTATAGGTGCATAGAAATGAGTAAAATTTTTACCCTAGGTTATAGGGCTGCATCAAAAGAAGCATGGCCAGCAGGTCAAGGGAAGTGATTTTTCCCCTCTACTCCACTCTCATGAGACCCCCACCTGGAGTACTGTGTTCAGCTCTGGGGTCCCCAGCATAAGAAAGACATGGACCTGCTCGAGTGGGTCCAGAGGAAGGCCACGAAGATGATCAGAGGGATGGAACACCTCCCCTGTGAGGACAGGCTGAGTTGAGGTCGTTCAGCCTGGAGAGGAGAAGACTCCAGGGAGACCTTATAGCAGCCTTCCAGTACTTAAAGGGGGCCTACAGGAAAGATGGGGAGGGACTCCTTATCAGGGCGAGGGGTAACGGTTTTAAACTGAAAGAGGGTAGATTTAGGTTAGATACTAGGAAGAAATTCTTTACCGTGAGGGTGGTGAGGCACTGGGACAGGTTGCCCAGAGAAGTTGTGGATGCCCCCTCCGTGGAACTGTTCAAGGCCAGATTGGAGGGGTCTTTGAGCAACCTGATCTAATGGAAAGTATCCCTGCCCATGGCAGGGGGGGTGGAACTAGGTGATCCTTAAGGTCCCTGCCAACCCAAACCATTCTGGGATCTATGATTCTGTAGTCTAATATTGACGGTCTTATGGCCCTTTTGTTTTGTACTGGCTGTCATTCCTTGTGTTTTTAGTTTCACTTATCTCACAACAATTTCTCTGTTAACTTTAATGTCACATCTTCCTTTTATCATTAAACACAAAAGGAATGACTCCCTGACTAATAAGGGATTACAGCAAGGGGTGGGAGAAAGATGGGAAAACAAAGGGATAGAATCCATTAGCTAAAACCTAGAACCAAGTGTAACTTGTACTGGTTTTGCTCTGGAAACACACACATACACAGATAAGGCAAGACAGTCAAAGCGTTTCTAGAAATTCTTTATGCAGGGAAACCAGCAACTTGTTAGTTTAGTGAATCATGGAGCTGGTTTTGGATGCTACTTCTCTGTTGGTTAAAATCTGGAGCCATTATTTTAATTCCACTTGACATTTTAGCCTTTTCGTTCTTTAATAACACACCATTAAGAAAAGAGCAACTTATTTCAATATTAATTATGCCTAACACGAGTTTCTAATTGCTCAATCCACTATCCTTTGGTTTATAAAGCATTAAAGTTTTACTGTCAATTACCTTTCTCCTGAGCTATATACGGGGATTGAATTATTCCCCAGGCTACTTCTGAAGATCCAGAGAGACTAAAGCTCTTAAGGATCCTATTTGAGACAATGGTGAACAATCACTGTAGTATGTGATATGATCTTCCTAGATACCAAAATTTTTACACAGCAAAGAATTACAGGATACATTCTGCATATCATCAAGAGGAGCTTTAAGAGGATGGGGGTACTCAAGGCGTAGTTCAATGCACAAATGAGACCAAAGGATCCCTAACAATCTCAGTATGAAACAGAGCTGGGCTGAGGTTTAGACTCCGTCCTTAGGCATTCTGCTAATGGCAGACTTACTAGATGACCTCCTTCTGCATGCAGTTAAGTACAGACTCCTTGGGTCACATAATACTGACACACTACAGGGGCTGTGCTTGACCTGCTTGGCAGGCACACAGAATTCAAAGTGATCCGAGGTTGCTCTTGTCCCAGGTTTTATTTTCTAGCACTGGAACATTTTTGTGGTTTGTCTTTTTCAAATTCTTTCAGAATTTCCATAAACTTCTTACCGACACCAGATCCTTCACTTCTGTACTAGCTCTTCTGCCAATACTGTGTACTGAGACAAGACTGTCTCCCCAGCTCTTACAACACTTCTAATTTATCTGTAGATCTCATTGGCCATTTCAGGATTAAGAAAGAGCTCAAACTGAGATAATAATTTTGTGTGACTGTCGGTCCTTTTCACTAACAACTGTTTTCCAAAACCGGCCTCGTACCTGGTTTAGCATGCAGACTCTGTTCCACATATACTACTATGTGTTTGGTTGCATTAAAATACATAGTTTATAACTACGTAGCAATTCCAGCTAACTATTCTTTCACAAAATCTGGGTCATTGCTAAGTCAACAAAGATTTTATATAATCTTCTAAATTACTGACGAAAAGTAGTTAACATTGTCCAACAAGTACTGGTTCCTGAGGGCTCACTTTCTGATGAGTCTCCAGCAACGAATTAACAACAAAATTTGCTAAAGTTTTTCAATCTGGCCAATGTAGTATTTTAGTTCCATACAAGTATATGGTTTGGGTTTTGATCAAGATGTCATACTGGAAGCAAGGTAAACGCACTGTATTCTTTTTATCTATTAGATCAGCAATACTGCCAAAAATGTAATAAGGTTATTTAACAAGATCTATTTTACAAGAAAATATGTTGAGTGGCATTGATTTTTACCATCTAATTCCCTGTTAGCAGAGTTTTTTAAATATTGGCTGGACACTTTTCCTGCTACTGCAGTCTAAAAAATTCTGATCCAAGGACTGATTTTAGTTAGCTTGCTTCCACCTTTGTTTTTCTTCATAAATCTAAGCATTCTGTCATTTCTTCAGAGAAGCAGCTACTCCCACCCTAAGGAAAGCTACCACTGTAGCTAAAATACTGCTTCTTCTTCAGACAATGAAGTTAACAAAATTTTCAGATGAGACCAACGTTTTGCCTCCATCCACAGGAACAGCACCTGGGGACTTCTGTCACAATATTAGATTTTCTAAGTGCCTGTAAATATACCTGTGTTTCTTCATTAGCACAACAAATACACTGAATCAGCCAGCATTGTCTTTGTACTGAACACGTCTTTGTCTGTTTTCACACTATCAGCTGATTATCTCAGCTTCCCTTTTTAGCTGTCCTTTAGCTCACCACCTCTCTGAATTCACTACCAAAGCCCCATTTAGTTCTCTGCATCATCTTGACATTTCTACTCCCTCATGTAACTATTTAAGTGTCCTAGAAAGAAAAAATAAATATCAAAAAGATCATGTTCACTGCAGTATGATTTAGTTTCTGACTTTCCATTGCTTACTTCCCTCTTTCAGATACTTTTATAATTTCCTTTGATGGATAAAGAAGCACGAACAGAAAAATAACCACTTCCTTACTGTAATGTAGTTTTTTCACTACATTTTAGCAATTAATATTCTAAAATTTTCAGATATGTTCATTCACATTTCAAATTTAAAAATAATTCGAGAAGTTACTAAGAAACAGTGAGCTGCCATTTGGTCAGTTAATAACTGTTGTTCTGAGATCACGATGGAGGTCTTAGTATGTCCTTATCAGATTTGTGTGTACAGATTTTGCTCTCTCTCCCAGCTGCTATTCCCCCCTTCTATAGTGCAATCCAAAGAATCGCCTACACCACTCAATGAAGTCATTATGACTTTTTTTAGTTCACCTCTACATCAATTATTACAAATACAAGCAATTATTTTTTAGCTTGACAACAAAAGGATTTTAACCAGGATTTAAATATCCTGTCATTCAAGAAATGTTTCAGCCTCCAACCTGTGTTACATCTATTCTACAACTTCTACTGACTGCTGGTCCTGTAGTTACTCATCAGGCTACTCTTGCTTCTAATACTGCAATAACTATTGTCACCTTCCTAAAAATGTGCCCAGTGACACCCTAAAATGTTTTACAGCACAGATACTGGAATCTAACTTGAATGAATCTGTAATAAAAAGACTTGTCAGAAATAATCAAGACATTCCTTATTTTTATTCCAGAAAAGAAACAAAACACACAAGGGATACACCAAGTATGAAAACAAACATACACCATGAAAGCACATGACTGATTCCAATGACACTTGGAAAACGGAACTGCAGAAACATGCAGAAAGACTCTATTATCAATAAAGAAGTGATGAAACAAATCTATGGATTTTTCACATTGGTGGACTGACTATAATTCAAGCCTTTACTAATTTTGCTAAGGAAACTACTATTTACATTTTAAGTAGCAAAACCGAAAATTATTTGTGGTGTTATCAGATACCTGTGGGACATTACATTAACTTTGATATAACCATGTACAGATACCCTAGAAGGTAAATATAAACACCAATTTTATTATATAATCATTTAGGTCGGAAAAGACCCTTAAGATCATCGAGTCCAACCGTTAACCTAACACTGCCAAGTCCACCACTAAGCCATGTCCCTAAGCACCACATCTACATGTCTTTTAAATACCTCCAGGGAAGGTGACTCCACCATTTCCCTGGGCAGCCTGTTCCAATGCTTGATAACCCTTTCAGTGAAGAAATTTTTCCTAATATCCAGTCTAAACCTCCCCTGGCACAACTTGAGGCCCTTTCCTCTCGTCCTATCGCTTGTTACTTGGGAAAAGGGACTGACACCCACCTCGCTACAACCTCCTTTCAGGTAGTTGTAGAGCGCGATGAGGTCTCCCCTCAACCTCCTTTTCTCCAGACTAAATAACCCCAGTTACCTCAACCACTCAAGTTCTTTTAAGAAATGCAACCTAGAGTGCTCTACAGGTTTAAATAAAGCATTTTAAAAAAATTAGCAGAGGAGAGATGAAAATGAAAGCCAAGCAAAAAAGAAATTGATTAAGATTTCAGTATAGAATTTGATACTAGAAAAATTAGAGGCAACAGAGACTGACCAAAGCTGACAAGACCACTCTGAAGACTAATGCAAAACTTTTCATTGATTAGGGACAGGGAGAAAACAGTGTACAATTAACTGACACCTCGCTCTGGCTGACTGAAGAGTAGGCAAACAAGAAAAGATATGTGGTATAACTGGCACAATTTGAGCACAGATCAGTGCTGGATGAGAAGTGGAAGTGAGAAATGAGCACAAATTCAGGATCTGTCAGATAAAATCCAAAAAATTTCTCTTTTAGAGCAAGTGTCCTGTGGTTGTGTGCCTTTGAGAAAACCAAGGGCAAGCGGAAAGCACCGTTTTGAGCTAATAAGATAGAACTTGGGTAGTGATGATAAAGATGAAGCTGAGGATTTGATCAATAGCTGAATCGAGAGAAAGATCATTTTCTGAATCTCTTTAGGAAAACCTTAAAAATACAGATTCTCCCAGAGGAAAAAAAATAACAAATTAATCATGTTTAAGACTGTTCTTACCTGTTTTCTGAGGTGAAAGGTCTTTTGCTGATGGAACTTTCAGATTAACTCTGCTCGATGCCAACACTGGAATAGAGAACTTCTCAGGAACCTTAAAGAATTCTTGCATGCTCACTTCTACACTGTAATCCACATACTTCAGCTCTGGGGGGAATTTATGAGGTTTCAGGAGTGCACGTCTCTGCAAGTGAAGGAATAATGTATACATATGAACAATCATTTCATAATAATTTCAGGTTAAGAAATGTAAAATTATACAGGCTTAAGGGTATAATTCTAAAACTGAATTGGTAATTAGGCAAGTCATATAGAAATTGTTGAGAGATCCTTCTAAATAAAAACTGTCTTGTATGATTTTTTTAGACATCATGCATCTGAAACATTCATTTAAGAAAAATGCATTTTGAGATTTACAGTAAAAACACCTCCTACCCAGAAACCACTTTGCAAGCCTTTATAGGTATTCAGGGAAGGCAAGAAAAGGGGAGAAAAAACATGAAGAGAAAAACATATTTTGTATCAGATGTAGACAAATGTTTCTTCTTTTACTTTGTAAAGTTTCTGAATAATAAAAAGCATGAAAAGGAAAAATTATTTTGACATTTTGCAAGGGATAACTATATAGTTAGCTGAGCTAATTTTGATACTTTAATGTTGACAATATATTTTAGAAATCAAAGCATTTAGAATTAATTTTAGGGACAAACAAGCTCCTCCTTTTGGTAAAAAGCATTGCTAATCAACAGCATGAAACATATTAGTAAAGGATTAGCACAGTATGTAAAGGCAAGCTCAAAATAGGCATCTAAACCTCTTAATGAACTAAATTCAACTCCTGTTAAGATAGCATTACAAAAGTAATGCAATGGTTTAATACACTACTTGCTCAAAATTGCCACTTTCAATCCAATAACACAGTATAATTGCAATGCTCAAGATTAATTGTAAGTTGAACAAATTTAAAATCTGAAACTAGTCGCATCTTTTTTATAGACACGTGTTTGAATTCATGACTATCGTGAATTATCTTGAGCAAATCTAGGGAGGAGATAAATACAGAAATATTCAGTTTGTGCTAGGAAAACTGACAAAAAAAAGAAAATTTAAAACGAAAGTTGATTGTTCTTAAGGATTACTATTAAGGGTAATATGGTCAAATTACTGTTCAAATCAACTGGGTCGGGGTTCTGCTTTGGGTTGGTGGTTTGTCTTTTTTTTTTTTTCTGTTTTAATACAAAACTCACATTCCCTTGCCGGTTTTAGAAAGCAGACCTACACTCTGCCATTGCTTTGTTTTGACCATTAATCGATCCATCCAAAGTGTCAATACGGTGTTAAACACAAAGTACGTACGGAATTCAGGAACCTGTTAAGCTTTAGTTGCTAATATAGCTTTTTGACACAATAAATATAGAAGCAGATTACTATTCAAGATTCTTGTTCTATGAAGCACAACTGGACAGATGTATCTGACTAAAAAAATACTCATCAACACAAAATGTTAACATAGTTCTTTTTTTACCATATTTGCACCACTTGTATGGTGCAGATATAATTTCTGATAGGACTGAAATGACAGAAGACTTTGCAGTGGGAAAAAGATATTTCATTCTCACTTGTAATGGGAAGTTCCAAACCAAAAGAATTACATGTATTTACCAGTTTAAATCTGACTTTGACCTTCTACATATTCAAATATAAATTTATACCTACACCTGATTTTGGTAATTAGATTATTTTCCAACACTGAAATAAAAACCCAACATGAATAAAAAGTTTTGGGAAGTCTTAATTGACAAAATGATTGTAAGATGACCTTTGGTGGAGCACTGAACACATTTGAATTATAATTAACTTGAAGAGATACGATTTAAAAAAATCACTGAAGTACTTTATTTTAAGATCCTTGTTCATGCTATCTCATTTTTAAAGATATGTTAGGAAAAAAGACAGCTGGTTAGTATTACATAGTCTATGAACATTTCAAATATTTCCTGGTACCTTGTCAAAAAGTAAAGGATGAAAGTATTTTTAATGAGACACCTAGATCTTTTTGAAAGGGAAAAAGAAAATCCTGCAAACACACAGAAGACTAAACCCTGTTACCTCAAAGGGTAACATTTCAAGAAAAGAGAAAATGTCCAATACAATTCAAATAAATGTTGCAGCTGCTCTCCTTCTTTTTAGTATTTTTCAGGGCAGTGAGAGTTAAACGGAATTTAATATTTTTTAACTCTCATTATGAATTGCAGGTGTAAGGCTGCTGTGCTACCATAAGACAGATTCCAACATGTACTTCATCAACATAATGGTTCATGATATTCCAACTGTGGAAATGTTATTACCAGTTAAGAACAGTATTTGCATTCAGTTCCCAGGATTAATTTCTTTTTTAGAATAATTTTTCAGAAAAGGATTGGAGGGTATATAAAGCACCAGAATTAAACAGTATTTTTCAAGGACTGAGTGATTTTCCAAGGTGTTTTCTTAAGATTTACCATCTGCACTTCCTATGTATAAAGGATGGCAGATTCTATTACAGGGTGCTGGGGTACCTTACTCTTTCCTTGCATATTACTGTTTTCCAAATCCTAATTTAGCCTCATTTCTTCCTTCCAGGAATTAACTTCTAAAACCGTTCCTCATGAATAAAAGAATTTTATGATCTCAATCTCTCAGAATCCCCGCGATCAATCAAGTTTGCCATCTCCCTTAATCCCGTATCAAAAGATAAGTGATGTAGTATAAATGACATTGGTCTCAGTTATAACTTCAACAAATTGAAATCTGACCACAGATCCTTTTGTGAAAAGTTCATTCCCATTCAAACGTATCTAATGTAACTTTTTAATTACAGTATCTTCTCTCTTCAAGGACACCATGATTCTTTCTCAAAAAAACCCTCACCTATATTTAAAAAAGCAAACTGTTCAAACTGAGCTTACAACTTTTCCATCATTACATGGAAGATCACAAAATCCTTATTGAATCCTGAGGGTCTCTGAAGAGCACAAACTTTGAAGATCAGAGCTGGACAGATGTAGGATGAGACTCTGTCACATCAGCCAAGCAGTGGAAGCTACAGCTTCAAGTGCACAAGGTATCTGCTCATTTTCCATTGATCAAAACTAAAACTCATCACCACCCCCATGATGTACTAAGATAAAAATACTCAACATTGCTTAGTCACATGGACAGCAGGATAGAAAGAAAATGCACAATGTCATAACAGCTGGAATATGGCTAAGGGTACAGAGATCTGGTGTCCACCCTCAGATGAGCCATGCATTCGAAGGGAAGCAAAACGGAGCCTATGCAAATACTTTTTACAGCCTAACTATGAGGACACATCTGGACACAGTGGGAAGTGCAAGCTTTAGTTTTGGGATTCTTGTAGAACAGGACTTCTATTCCTTTCCTATCGTAATGTCTAATTATACAAGATTACTGGCATCTCTAACTATGAAAAAATAGCCCTGTATCTAGCCACTGGGTGTAATTTGTGCCTCTTTAGGTGGATTCTAGAAAAAAGGAAAATTGACGCACGTTATTTTGAATTTCACTTCACTGACTTCACTGACTGCATCCTTCCCCTCGCATACCCAAGTGAATGAGTTCTAGTTATTGTTATTTCCTTCTTTCTTTTATTTACTTCCCTCTATTTACCACCATTAGCAACTTCAATCTAAACAAGTTATGTTCTTCCACATCCTCTCCTCTTTCTTTCCAGATACCCTTTTTATTCCCTTGTTATCTATGTTCACCTAAACTTCCCACTTACAGCTTTCTTTTATTCACCATTAACAAAGGCAATTTGTAATTATTCACAATAATGCCGGTCCCAACTTTGACAGTGGCAGACAGTTCCATCCTATATTCCCTTTACTACTACCTAAAAATGTTTTAGGAGGAATTAAATTAATGAAAGGAGGTAAGAAATTAACACAAATGTATACTTAAAAAATAGATTTCAGAACTTTTCTAACATTCATTAAAAACAATAAAAAAATTCAGTCAGAAATGGGCATGCAACCAGGTTATTTAGTTTCTGGGGTTTTATGCTTTGTATATATTTATAGGGTGTATACTAATAGATCTGCATCTTTGGATTCCTATTGCTTTAGCATCCTTGCTTCCTATCTCTTCATTACTTAACTTCTCTAACTGCTTTATTAAATTTTGATGCTATTTGGTTTCGAATGTATTTATTTTTTTAATTATACCAAAGTTTAAACACCAAAAAAAAAATCCTTTAACAAATGGTTTGGATTGTGCTGGCAGTAAAGGTTACTTTCAGGGGACAAGAAGGAGAATGGCAGGTTAACTACGTAACCTTGCTGCTAGTAAGTCCTCCAGTGCCCAAGATTGTAAAAATAAACTATTAAAATTCTATTTCTAGCAGAACTGTTTAATGAGCTGATTTTAATCTAATTTATAAAGTAAAAGATAGAAATAAAGATTTAGCTAAGACTCCTGATCCTTTCCGTTGAATCTCCATTTCCAAGCTCCTCAGACTTGTTGACTGTCACTTCTGTACTCTGCACATTATCTAATACTGGTCCAGTAGCAACACCATTTAGCACAAAAACCCAACAAGATAAATAGGTCCTGATTAGCACAACAACTTTTATGGGAAAGAGATAAAAATTCATTATTTTTTTAGTAACTCTAATCATTAAAGACAATCAAAATAGATCTTTGTTTTTTACAGCAAGGAAAAGAAGCAGTACAAACATAGTACAAAAATAGCTACGACTTTCAACCATGCGTATAGATGGGTCGAGTAAAAACATACAGCACAAGTTAATGAATATGCATATCCAGTTTGACTCCAAAAGTATAGCTTACCTTTATTACTATTTTCTATGTGCTTTAAGTAAACATGAGTAAAATGTACAGTTTAATAAGAATGGAAAGCATGCAAGTATTTAGTTATTTGTTCTTCAATTTTACAGGCAAAAAATGGACCAAGTAGTAATAATGTAAGGGCATTTTCCCTTCTGTCTACCCATTATATAATACAATTTATACCTGTAGGAAGTGAGTAGAAAGGTGGAAAGGAAATCAAAGAGAGTAACAGATTTCCAGAGATTCTAGATTTATCGTTAAACTGCAACATACGTTCCAAAGGATTTCATGAGCCTAAATAATTCAGCAAACCACAGGAGCTGTGGATGGGGTCTTTTTTTTTGGGGGGGGGGGGGATTTAGACAATGAACCTAAAACCATACTTCAGCTCCAAATTTAACTGCGGACCACCAGCCCCCTCAAAAAAAGTTTCTTCAATAAATGCCACCAGAATTTCTACACTGTCACTTTTATACAGACAGTAAGTAAGAATTTATGACAAAAACCGATCAGGAACACTTCAGAATTTAATCTGCATAGTGGATTACCATATTGAGATATTTTTAATGTGTGAAGTCTTTTCTACATCAGTATATAGCAAAACTTTGCCATTTTATTTCTCATAAGCAATTATAAGACTTTCTGCACATGGAGCAAAATACTTCTTTCTGCATATTAGTTTCACTTCTCACATGATAATTTATTCAGTGTTAGTATCCATCATTATGTATTTTATAACTAATCTAATTGTCCTCCACTCTTCTACGATACAAGTAATTTTAGAACTCACATTAGATCTTAGCATACCTAGTGGTACAAAGAGTGTTCCTACTATGTTCTGTCTTGATTACATCCACAGTTTCAGAGCAGTCAAGTCTTTTGTCAAGTATTTGCTAAGTGACTGTGATATTAAAGGACTTCAATTATGAAAAGTTTATAAAATGTTACCACAGCAGTGGGTTAGCTATAATCCAAAAGGAAAATATTTGAGTCTACATTACATGGTTACAATTCTTGTCCCACTACAAACATACAACAGATTAAATCTACTCTTTCATTTTTCCTCATTTAATTTGTTTTATATTACTTTTTAAACTTATCTGTAAACAAAAGGCATAAATTTAGCAACATCAAGACACCAGGGAAAATTCTCTTCCTCTTAGTACTGGGAATCACGTAGCACTGGGAACCATACTCAGGGAATAGTCTAACTGGAAAACAGGAATAATATACAGCTACCCAGCAATCTGTCTGAAGCCAGGTAAGATCAGGTTCACAAGGGAAATTAAAACCCAGAGTGTGGCTATCATCCATAAAAAGTTACATTTGAATTCTACATGAGAAAAAAGCTTGCTTATTTGGCAATATTGCTATTACAAATTTATTCACAAGTACTAATTGAATGTTTAATGGACTACCTTGGTAGGATTTTTTGTTTCTAGATGTTGAAATCTTGGGAAAATATTTCTAGGTTGGAATGATGTATAAGTAGGGAGCTATAGCCTATAAGGAAGATTTGCGGTTTTCCAAAACTGTTTTGTATTGATTGCAAGACAAGAAAAAGTCTTTCCTGCTCCTTGATTTATTCTCAAAGATTTTTTTTTAAATAAAATAGTCCTGTTTGAGAATTTTAATTTCTTACTAAAATGTGCATAAGGAAGGATATTAATACAGATATCTATTACAAAGAGTATGAAAGCTTTTTTAATCAATGGGTATTTTTCAGAAGCTAACTGAAGTAAAATGTTAATGTTCTTTTTAACTGCAGCCAAGATTTCTTAAAGGAAGCACTTCTTAACAGCATGGAGTGAGGAAGCAGCTTCAGAATGAATATGTAAAATATTGCAGTGCTTGAGGGGAATTGGGATCAGTAACTGTCAGATTACAGAATGTGTGAAAAAAACATAACTTCACACTATTTCCTAAAACTTAAAAAAATCAGTCCTACAAATCAAGAACAACTAAATAATTGCAGTAACAGATTACTGTGTTTCTCACCTCTACTCTGGACAGCCCTAACAATGCAGTTGCAACTCGAACACTACTGCTCTGCAGAGTCCCTGTGATCTTTCTTCTTTCATATTCAATAGTTGACATCTGCTGTTGTGCAGCAATGGCCAGAGCCCTCTCTCTTGACTCATTGATCAATGGAATCCTCAGATTTTCTTCAAGAATCTGAGCAAAACCACATTTCAAATATAAAACTGGCTCTACTGCACTCAGACCTGTTAAAAAAAAAAACAAAAACCCCACACTTGTCAGCTGCTAGTGTAACTGCATAGATAATTTAAAATCCCTAATCTCCAAAGAAAAGCCAGAATACAACATTCCTTTGATGTTTAGTTACATGCTATTACTCTAGTACACACTATTTACTCCAGTAATACTTTTTTTATTTTTAATCATAATGCGGAAAAAAAAAACCAACCACAGACTGAAATCCAAATCAAAACTCACTTTTAATAGTTAATTAAAAAACCCAGACTTTAGTGTTATTACTATTATGATGGTAATGAAAGTTTAAAAAAGTCTTTCTGGTACCTACACAACACAGCCACTCTTTTATCCCTCTAGATGATGTTGCATCCCCTCTAAAAGAAGCTACCAGCAATTATTTCAAATAATAGCTACATTGTTTCTGAAATAGGACTGACAGCAGTTTATCACTGGCTGTTTGAAGACAAAAGTATTGGATTGCCTGTCAAATCACAACACTGCGTACAAAACTCGTGTTTTAAAACTAGAAAAATTCTAGGTAAAGATTACTTGTGCTGATTTACCTGGCTACAACCTATATTCTGAAGTAGAAAAGAAGAGAAATTATGAAAAAATATTTATGTAGACTATGTTGAAAACAATACAAGAAAGTTGAAGAAGATAGCTAACAACCAGCTGGTGCTCTGAAGAGAATGGTCTGGACAACATTAAAATAAATATCTTTCTTACACTTCACTATAAACAACTGCTTTTACCAGACGTATTTAATTAATTTTAACAAAAATGCATGGGAACTAAAGCATATTTCCAAAGGAGAATGATTTGCTCTATTTTACTCTTCTCCCTTGTATTCACTTTACCTTCTAACGTATTGCTAACATGCAGAATATTTGGACTATCCATTGGAAGCAATCTTGAAGGTAAAGGTATATCACCTGTTCCCTCTATCAGGTATACGAATTCTCCAATCTGAAACACAAGAACATACACATCCACACAATTCAGAAAGGAACTCATGCAGAACAGAAGGTAAAATATTAAAACTAAAGACAAAGGTATCCTAGTAATACTTAAGATCTGACTTGTAAAATAATTTACATATTCAGGAGACCCATTGTTTTAAAACTATGTTGAAATAAAAGAAAACTATCATTTTAAACCCTGCTATGATAATAAAGTACCTTTAATTGAGAATATTAAATCTGAAAATTCAAGAAATTTCAACAGGTTGAATCTTTTCCAACTCCTCCTATAATTTAACTGAATAAGGATACCCTCATCCATAAATACAGCAGTAAAGTGAATTTTAATTCTCTGTTATAGCCACATATAATTTAAACATATACACGAGCTTACTTCATTGCTTTTCACTATTAAGAACTTTTTAAAAAAAATGTTTACAGTCATTTGGAGCCAGTAATATTTCTCTAGAAAGCAAAAACAGCAGAAGTCACGGCAAGTTAGCATCATGCACAAATTCTCCATTAAGAAGAAATAAAGTTAACAAACCTTAATTATTTCATCAAAACTAAAGGAAAACCTACAGAAGCTTGAAAGCAAACATAAACATGACCTAGAACAAAGGAAGAGAGTAATTTGTCATAGAGGAAAGGATAAATTAATTAGCAGAGAAATAACACTTTGAATCACAAATGAAACAAAAAAATAAGGTGCAAATGAAAGACAGAAAAGTATTTTTTAAAAAAAAGAAAACTCACTAAAAGTACTCCAAATTATAAAGGCCACAAATCAGAACATCCCAAAACTAAAAGATATCTGAATTAGGTACCTATATATCTATCCGAACTAGGCAGGAGATTTAATAGGCATGTTACTATTGCTTTGATAACTTTCTGTTTACTACAAGCTTTTGTCGGACAGCTTTAGCTTCTACTGATTGCAAGGTAAATGATCAAACGCTGCTGCAACAACTGATATAATTGGCACAGAAGGTCATCTCTTTATTGCCATAAACCACATTCTATAAAACTGTGCCCTAAAAATGCATATTCTGCCTTTTAGTCTTCACTCCAGATATAAAGGAAATAATTTATTTATATAATTTAGTCCATCCGCCAACTAATGCAATGTCCTCCCTTTAATATTGGTCAATAACATAAGACAAGCCTGCTTTTTATTTTACCTTTATTCATAGTTTTGTCAGATATTTACGTTAAGGCTGAAAACATTGCCATTATGTTTCTGACCCAGCAGAAGGAAAGCTATTAAACTTTGATGGCATTTTCTCCCCTTCCTTGATTCAAGAGTTCAGAAAAATCTTCCCTGAAAAGGATTAAAGAAAGCTACAGCAAAATTGGTTTCCCACACACAAACTAATAGCCACTCCTGGGAACCAATTTAGACAGGAATTATTCCTGTTTGACACAGTGTTTTGGCTCCATAAGGACCGTTAACAAGCTCACAGCATATACAACTAAGTTCATGAAGGCACTGGTTGCTAGGATGCCATTCTACTATCAATTACTTTTTCTTGTTACTGCTGACATCAATATGCTTATAGGTAGGAACAAACTTCCCCATTTCCCTCTTTACTTTGAATAATTGTTGCTTTTTGATCTCCACAGAATGCAAATCCTGTTTTCTTTCTGCTGAGGTTTTTCCTGATGCTTTGGATGGGTATTTTACTGTATTTTGAGAGTTTAGCTAGCATCCCCACAGATTTAATGCTTCATATTTCCATTTTCCATCAGCTGCAAACAGGATAGCATCAACATTTTGTAGGGTTTACTGTTAACAAAAATAGTTAATAAAATAGATTCACAGAATCATAGAATAGTTTGGGTTGGAAGGGACCTCTAAAGGTCATCTAGTCCAACCCCCCTGCAACGAGCAGGGACATCTTCAACTAGGTCAGGTTGCTCAGAGCCCCGTCCAACCTCACCTTGAATGTTTCCAGGGATGGGGCATCCACCACCTCTCTGGGCAACCTGTGCCAGTGTTTCACCACCCTCAGCATAAAAAATTTCTTCCTTCTATCTAGTCTAAATCTACCCCCCTTTAGTTTAAAGCCACTCCCCATTGTCCCCTCACAACAGGCCCTGCTAAAAAGTTTGCCGCCATCTTTTTATAAGCCCCCTTTAAGTACTGATCGGCTGCAATAAGGTCTCCCCAAAACCTTCTCTTCTCCAGGCTGAACAACCCCAACTCTCTCAGCCTTTCTTCATAGGAGAGGTGTCCCATCCCCCTGATCATCTTTGTGGCCCTCTTCTAGACCCGCTCCAACAGGTCCATGTCTTTCCTGTGCTGAGGGCTCCAGAGCTGGACACAGTACTCCAGGTGGGGTCTCACCAGAGCAGAG